AATTTAACAAATTTTTGATGCTTATTCGCATCTTCGAAACGATATTAATAATGATGAATAATATATTAAAATCTGTAAATATATATTAATGTATATATATATTAACTCTCTCTTGTGTATCTGAATCATTCCATCATTCACGTATGGGATTAGTGGGACATAGCCGTGACGATTATTGGGCAAATCGTTATGGCGGCATGGCGGTAACTCGTACATTTGTGCTTTCTAACCTTTATGAAGGATTTTCTCAATAACGGCAGTAGGTATAAGAATTTTAGATTGACATTTTTATTCGTAACAAAAAAATGATTTTAAATAACTTAAAATCACAATCATTCACTTCTCAATCTGAACGATATAAATTTGTAAAGTCAAGCGTTTTGGTTAATGTGACGATTAGTGGGCCAACTACCTTATATCTACGTATTATATTTACGTATCGGGATTGTCGTGCGCGCGGATGTTTGGCCCATAATTGTGGCGTAGGACCATAGTTGTATGAAATTACGTTATTACAAATTAAGATTCTTACTGTTTATTATAAATAACAATGACATTTTTCTTCTTTATTTCTATTTACTGTAGTCGGTCATTGATGAAAATACATTACGTATTTGCTAAAACACATAGCTCAAAACAATCTTTTTCTAGAAAATGAATTTAAATAATTGTAAAAAAATAAAAATATGTTCTTTCTTTCTTCTATATGTTTTCATTTTTTTTTCTGTAAGCAACTCCAAATGATAATTTTCGAATTATGTCGTTGTTCCAATAAATCGTCGATATATGCAAAATATTACTCAATTTTTACACGTGTCAAATATTGTGTAATAATTACAAACAATTGTGTTTTATTTCTGCAGCTATAAAATATTTGTAAGTATTCCAGGTAGCAAACTGTAGTGATTTTGACGTTGATAATTAATCATTCTGAATTATTGATGTCATGTGATCTAACAAGTTGTAAGATGTAATAATGACGTCATTTATTTTTGACGTATTTACAACGTCATACTTATTGACATCAGATAAATGACTAATCGATGACGTTGGTAACTAATAATATTTTATTAGTGATCAATTAATAACGTCATTTATTTATGCCGTTCATAATACGAAAATAATGACGTATTTTCGATGTCGGTTAATATGACGTTGTGTAGCTGTGACAAATTCACGTCACTTTTACGATGATAGGACATCAGATTCGTTAAGAATAACCAACTAATTACGTTAAATAGACGATACCTTGCTATCTGGGATGTAACGCTTTATTATTTTACAAGCAATATTTTTCTCTTTAACCCCTTCAGATCCTATATACAGTGTAATGTACATCAAATTTGAAATATTTGTTGAAATTATTTAATTCTATATTGACATCATCAGAAATCAAATGTATATAATAATATATTTGTAGAAAAAATAATCAAAATTTTTTGAAAAAAATCAATTTTTTAGTATGAATTACTTATTAAAGTATCCTTGAAATTAAAAAAAATTTTTTTACTAAAATTCGAGAGCACTTTAATAAGTAGTTCATATATGATTCCATTAAAATCAAATCTGAAAGAGTTAAATCCTTTCTCCTAAAAGTTCTAAAAGTTTTTATGACAGACAAGCATCATTCTCTTTTTCCTTCTCTCGCCTCTACAGATAAAAGAAAATTCTCTACTTTATCATGCTTTCGCAATCGCGCGTCCCACGTTTCACGCGTCGTAGCATCTCTACTTCCTCCCGCTTCCCACACATTTCATGAAGCGGAACCTTTCCAGTTCTCCTTAATCATGTCACTGGCCTTCTCGGCGATCATGTACACCGGTGCGTTCGTGTGACCAGCGATTATAGTCGGCATCACGCTGGCGTCCACGACCCTGAGACCGTCGATGCCGTGCACCCGCAGCCTGTGGTCCACCACTCCCGAATTCTTCCGAGTGCTCATTCTGCACGTGCCCACGTAGTGACCCAGAGTCGTCGACACGTGACGGGAGACGCAAGCCCAGTATGCGTCGCTCTTAAAAGCGACGTGCTTGCATCCCGGAAACGGTACTGGCAGCATCATAGTGTTGAAACGCTTGAACGCCTTCGTGGAAGCTACTTCAATCGCCTGTGATAAGATGTGTGATAAAAATGGAATATTAAAAAATTGGAAATTGACAAAAAAACTTTAAACAATATAATATATTATGGGATTATAAGAATCATACAAGCATTAAGATCCAGCTAGACCGTTTAAGGCTTAAAAAACTTTACGATATTTTAATTATATACAGAATATAATTTTTAATGTGTAAAATAATTTTTTATTTTTTTGATTAATTTGGTTATACACGCTGCCTACAAAAAAGCGTTATTGTTCTTACATATACTGATTATCGTGAAGAATATTACTATAAGGCCTCTGTAGTCTAATAGCTTAGGATGCTCGTACGGAATACAAGAGATCTGGGTTCAAGTCCCGGCTGAGGTAATATTTTTCGCAATAAATTTATTTAAGGTTTTCAGCACATTGTCAATTTAATTTAACTTGTGATATTATTGCATTGAGTTTAATTGCGTTAGATAAAATCCGGAAAAATTTCGGCGCGCAGTTTGAATAACTACAAAAATATATATGCATGTATATATATAGGATATAGATAATTCACTGGGAATTATTTAGGCAAAAAAGATCTAGCTTTGACCGTCATATACCTGAATACGCTTATACTTAGTGAAAATAATTTTTAATGTGTACAATGGTAAAGAGAAATCGTAAAATAAAGAAAAACTATGTTAATGCGTAAAGATTCTCTGCTTACGATCTTTATAGCTTGCACCATTGTATTCAGATCATCCTCGTGACCGTAATAATTGGTGTCCACAATCGGCGAGTCCCATGGATCGCTGCTTCTCAAAGTGAGTCTACCGCGACTCTTAGGTTGCAGAAGCACAGGTACGATCATAAAGCTATCAAAGTCCTTGTAATCGCTGTAAACTTCCATGTAAAATTCGTTTGTTAATCCTAAAAGACTACGATAGCTGCCGGAAGCATCTCCGGCTAACGAGCTTGCGCCTAACACCAATTCGACGTCGGGAAAGTCATCCTCTGACAGCTTGCTCGCATTAATATAAGGATATATCTTATTACGACTTATGGTGATGGAAGTTATGTTAGGAACAGCTGTAAGAAATGATTCATAATGTGATTTCCGTCAGAGCTAATTAAGTTTGAAAATAGCAAAAAGAACAATTGCCAACAATAGGGAGTTTGCATAATTTTTGAAAAATATTGCATTTTGTAATTTATATGTATATATATTGTAACCGTACTCGCGAGCAATGGCACAACTTCGTCGCGCGTACTTCGTACTCCTCGTACGCAAAAGTATCTCCTTTCCCTCGGTAACCGAATTTTGCGACAACCAGGCGGTTTTTCGGCCAAGATTGTAATTTTTATTACTAAGTTAGGCGCCAGACACGAGAGAGCGTGCTACTCTTTCCGAAATCTCCTTACTTTTGCCCGTAACCAATTCGCGACGGCAGGGGTGGGTCGCAAAAGGTGCGGGAAATTTGTCGGAGGGTGAGAGAGATAGGCCACAAAAATAAACTACGCGAAAGCGTAATAATAAGAACAATTATATTTGAAGAAATATGATAAAGTAGGACTAATTACATTGGTGACGTAATTACGAGTAATCTCCGGAGCTTCGCTCCTCCGCTCTGCTCGATACTCTCGGTACTCGCACAGAGAGCCGCTAACTTACTTCTAGCGCCGGACGCCGGTCATACGCTACAGCACGAGCCCCGACCTTTCTCGTGGTATCTTCCGACGATGTCAAACGCCCGCCCCTCGACAACCGGCAAGAACCCGTACCCGCTGTACTACCAGCCTTCCGGACGTGTAACGTCGGCCCGCGGCCGACACCACAGCGATGGTGCGACGCGACTATAGCGAACGCCTCTATGCGACACGACTCTACTTGACAACGTGAATCCTGGAAACGGACTCTATTCGGTAACAGCACAACCGGAAGTTAACTCGGCAACGCGACAATACGCGTTCCGATGCGACAGCACAATGCTCGGCGACACAATTATAGCAAGCGTGCCTACGCGACGCGATAATAAACGATAACGCAACTACAATAAGCGTCTTTACGCGACACGACGAGACTCGACAACGCGACTACTCTCCGCGTTTCTACGCGACTTCGCTCTACTCGGAAATCGGAAGTGACTCCCCTGTGGCGAGAGGAACGAGCGCGACTCGGCCCTCGATACTCCGAACGACTCTAATTTACTTCAACTCGGCAACGAATATTCTTCCCCTTACTCTGACTCTCGAAACGAGACAGCTAATTACTTCCAAGGCTCGGGAGGATGGCACGTGGCTCGCGATTCCGCGGCTCTACACGGCGGCCACTACGCCGATCTCTCGTTTCGGTGCGAGCTGGCTTACGTGCGATCCACCCGGCGACGTACCCCGGTCGGCAGCTTTACAAGCGAACAAAATTATTTAATTAGATCGACATAAGTAATATACATTAATAAAATAACCCTATCATTAACAAAAAATAGACGTTTCGGCCTTGAATATCGCCATCCTCAGTATTACAATCGTAAATCAACATTAAAATAATAAATTATGTGCGCTAATAATTTGTCGGTTAACGTTACAATATAATTGTTCAATTACTTAATATGTTCCAGTCAAATTAACATTTTAATCCATAGTTCGTATGTAATTGAATGATAGTATCCTATAGTCGAATTAAAATTTCAATCCATAGTTCATATTTAATTAAATGATAGTATCCACCAATGCATAATTGCTTGTCAATTTGATATAATATCATTGAAATTATAAGATAAAGTTTCTAAACTAGAATAAAAATCCAGTAATAAATTTTGAATTTCAAGTATGGAGCTAATTCTTTATTAAAAATAAAAAATTTTTTTAATAAAAATAAAAATAAAACTTTTTTTAAGTAACATTACCCATATCTTGAATTTCCGTTTGATGATTCACAATGGAAGATTACTTCTTGTCAAATTATTACTATCAGAGGTTGGTTTCAAACGAGTTTAGATTGTAATTTCTTTATTTTATAAGTTTTCTAGAAGGTCTCTATCATTAAAAGAGATGGAAAATATTGTGAAATAGGAAAGGGAAAACAAAAAAGTAGTGGGAAGGTAACCAGTTGCCATCTAGTATAATCTTCAAAGTAATTTTTAGAACTATGATATTGCTTGTATTATCGGTAAGTAGGAAACGGGTAGTTCTTCTGTATCACTTTGATTATTTATCCCTTCAGCTTGTTTTTTAATATGGATCATTTCAGAAATGGATCTTTTGTAAAATGATGGTTCAGAGTCTAAAATTTCGATATTTTCCCAATCTATTTCCTGATTAAAATTAAGCCGATGACATAAGACTACTGAGAGATTATTTAATTTTTTTATGTCTGCTTTGTGTTCCTTTATTCTAGTTTTAAGCTATCTTTTAGTCTGTCCTTCATAAGAACATTCACAATCTCGACGTTTGATTTTGTATACCACTTGATTATTATCCATTTTATTTAATTTATCTTTCCTTGTTTTAATAAATTTAATTAAGCTATTAGTAGGTTTATATGCAATATTTATGTTGTATTTCCTATATACTAAATATTAAACTTAATTCCTGCCGTTTTTCGTTTCCAAAATTGATTTGTTTCGAAGGGAAATATCTTAATCAGAGTATTATTAATAAAGTATTATTAATTAGTAATAAAGCAAGAAATGGAGGAAATTACTTTGATTAATGTATTCATTCATCTTCCCTTCGAAACAAATCAATTTTAGAGACGAAGAACGGCAGGAATTAAGTTTAACACTTAATAAATTCTTAAATTTTTCAATTAAATTATTTACATATGATAAAGTACAAAATTTTATAATATTAATATCTATAGGTTCATTTTGATTTGTGTACTTGTAATTATTTTCGTGAATTAAAGATTTGACTCTATTATTTATTGTATTAAATAGAAAATCTAATGAGTAACCGTTATTTAGAGTGCTATCATGTTCGTGATATTTTTTTTGTGAAAGCTTGAGTGTGACAGGAATACAATTATGTCCAATAATGACGTAATAACACTTTCTTTATGGACAATAGGATGGTTCGAGTAATAATTTAGAAACTTTCTTGAGTTCGTAGGTTTTTTATATAAATCGAAGATGATCTTATTATCCTTTACTTTTATGTCCAAAAAGTTCACTCTATTACCCTCATATTCTTCCAGTGTAAATTTGATTCTATTATGTTGAGTATTAAATATTTCTAGAGTTTAATTTATTTGATTTTTAAGCAATGCTAATTAAATATTGTCAACATATCTGAAATGTATGGGTATATCGATGTGAATCGTAGAATGGATTTTACTTTCAATGTCCTCCATAACTAAGTCGGATATAACTGGAGAGAGTGGTGATCCCATAGGTATGCTGAATATCTATTTATAGTATTTATTATCGAATTGAAAATATGTTGAATTCAAGATTGAATTTATTAATTTTACAGAATTAATAATTTCATTTATTGGTAAAGTTGTGTGATTTGCTATTATGATAAGTCCCATCTTTTTACAATTCCTTCAATCGCTAAATCTATTGGAATATTAGTATACACATCTGAAATGATCCATATTAAAAAACAAGCTGAGGGGATAAATAATCAAAGTGATACAGAAAAACTACCCGTTTCTAATCTTAAAAATATTATTGATAACAGCTTAAAAAATCAAAATTATGGTATATAAAAAATAACTTCGAATTAGTATATAAATTGAATGGAAGACCATTACATTCAGACTATAAATTAGTTTCATTCGATGTAGTCTCAATGTATACTAATATTCCAATAAATTTAGCGATTTAAGGGATTGTAAAAAGATGGGACTTACCATACTAGCAAATCACACAACTTTACCAAAATAAATGAATTTATTAATTCTGTAAAATTAATCTTGAATTCAACATATTTGCAATTCGATAATAAATACTATAAACAGATATTCAGCATGCCTATGGGATCTCCACTCTCTCCAGTTATATCTGACTTAGTTATGGAGGACATTGAAAGTAAAATCCATTCTACGATTCACATCGATATACCCATATATTTCAGATATGTTGACGATATTTTATTAGCATTGCATAAAAATCAAATAAATCAAACTCTAGAAATATTTAATACTCAACATAATAGAATCAAATTCACACTGGAAGAATATGAGGATAATAAAGTGAACTTTTTAGACATAACTATAAAAGTAAAGAATAATAAGATCATCTTTGATTTATATAAAAAACGAACTCAAGAAGGTTTCTAAATTATCACGCGAACCATCCCATTGTCCATAAAGAAGGTGTTATTACGTCATTATTGGACAGAATTGTATTCCTGTCACATCAAAGCTTTCACAAAAAAAATATCACCAACGTGATAGACACTCTATTATATAACGGTTATCTATTAGATTTTCTATCTATTTAATACAATAAATAATAGAATCAAATCTTTAATTCACAAAAATGATTACAAGTATACAAATCAAAATGAACCTATAGATATTAATATCAGAAAATTTTGTACTTTACCATATAACCATATGTTAATAATTTAACTGAAAAATTTAAGAATGTATATAGGAAATACAACATGAATATTGCATATAAACCTACTAATAGCTTAATTAAATTTATTAAAACAGGGAAAGATAAATTAAATAGAATGGATAATAATCATGTGGTATATAAAATCAATCGTCGAGATTGTGAATGTTCTTATGAAGGACAGACTAAAAGATAGCTTAAAACTAGAATAAAGGAACACAAAGCAGACATAAAATAATTAAATAATCTCTCTGTAGTCTCATGTCATCGGCTTAATTTTAATCAGGAAATGGATTGGAAAAATTTCGAAATTTTAGACTCTGAACCATCATTTTACAAAAGATCCATTTCTGAAATGATCCATATTAAAAAACAAGCTGAGGGGATAAATAATCAAAGTGATACAGAAGAACTACCCGTTTCCTACTTACCGATAATACAAGCAATATCATAGTTCTAAAAATTACTTTGAAGATTATACTAGATGGCAACTGGTTACCTTCCCACTACTTTTTTGTTTTC